AGTGTAGCTGGTGATGGTCAGATCTGCCATTTTATGCTAATTATCTCAGGGTTTAAGAAGATGTCTTGCCGTTAACTTAAATATGTAAATATCTATAAAGAGGAAAAGCCTTGTTGCTGATGCTTGCCATTTACAAAATAAGTTTAAAGGACCTGGAAAACTGAACTGTATCAAGGTTCTTTACAATACACATGTGCATAATTTTTTTAAATTTTGTCCAGTCTTTCATTTTACCCTTTGTCCAATTCAGGCACGATATGGGCTCTCCTGAAGGGAAATCAATAATTTCAAACCCAGTTGCCATCCATGATTCCAACAATCAGACATTTGTATTTTGTCTTTGTGATGATGGACAAGTTTACTTCCTCAAAAAAGAGGCTGATGGCACAGCTCTTGAGTTTGGAAAGTGGCTTTCAATCAGTGCTAAAATTCCATTTGAAGCAGGTATATAACATTATAACATTGATATAACTTCATTGTTAAGCATTTCATGCCAAAACCCAAAATGGTTGTAAAGGGGGAGCCTCTCAAATCTTTAGGCAATTCTCATGAAAGGGAAGATTGAGGCACAAAGTTTGAAGAATCTCAGGGGTGTAAACAAGATTTTTTTCAGTTAAGAAAGGGGGGGGGGTCTTACTTTAGGCTTACTGGCACATGAACTGTTTTTTTCTAATTACTTACCTAACTTGACAAGGAGGTGGGTTGTATAAACCCCACAACCCCAACTGCCCTATAGACATGTAGAAACCCAACATGTACCAAAGATCCCTCTCTCCCTCATAGCTAAATCTTCAAGTCTGGTGAAAAATCTTGTAGTTTTAACTCTAATTTTAAGAATTGCAGATTTTAAACTATAAAAAATATATTGCTTTCAAGGAGTGACTCTGAAAGGAAAAGACACTTTGTCTGTAGTGAACTATCAGAATAAGCTGACTGTCTTCTCAAGATCAGTGACAAAATCCTCCCATCTGTACTGGTCACAGCAAGTCAATGGTAATTGGTCAGACTGGGCTCTTATTGGTGGATCATCTGTTTCATTAAATTCTGATGTGGCAATAGCTTACAATGGTTTCTCAAAGGTATGGAAAGTCAGTCTGGGTTTATTCAACAGAGTGCATAGTAATGCAAGTTATAAGCAATAATGCTTGGATAAGTCTTATTTATTAGTTTTGGTAGGAACCATTTACTGTTGGTAGAAAATTATGATACATCTTTATTTCTTCAGTATCTGGAAGCATTTGCCATCATGGAAAACAACAAAATGTATAGAACTTGGCAAACAGGTACAAAAAGTCAATTTCTGTGATAATATAGTAGGATACAATACTCAAACAAGCACTGAATCATACCTTAAAATTCAAAACATTTTGAAACCTTTAGGTCCAACAAAATGGGTTTCCTGGGATGAAACAGGATATGGTGCCCCAGAGACCCAGCATGCCCCAGTAGTGCACCAAATGAGCCACAGTACATTCAATGGTGTCCTCAATGTGTTCGTATATGGTGATGATGGCTACATTCACCATATATGGCAAACAACCTGTGATAAGGTTCCAAACCCTTGGGGGTGGTGCACATGGAGTTTGTGGTCTAAGATTGGTGACAAGATTCCAATGACTGACCCCTCTTATAATCCTTTGAGTATTGGGGCTAATATACATCTTGGAATTGAGGTAAGCATGGAGTTTTTACTGCCCTGTGGTTTGGAAAAATACTGTAACCCCAAAACACTGTAACCCTTTATACCCTAAAATCAGTATGCGTGATTCCATATTCTCTATACAGCTCTCTCAACATTTCCAAAGGTGCTAAACAAGGAGAATTTTTTTAACAATCAAGAGTTTCTTCAGTTGTTGATCACTTCCTTTATTTTCATGACCTCAGTGTGTCATTTTGGGGTGATATTGTAAGGAGAAATTAGAAGCTGATCACTCTGGAGTCAAAGGGTTAAATATCTTGAGATGACTTAAGAGTGCGCAGTTTTCATAGCTTCCTTAAGGGAGTGGTGGAATGGCAATTACTATGTCAAAGAAATAGAATAAAGTATACTATTATAACTTTATTTTAAAACAATATTGAAACATAAACACATTTTGAAACACCATGTTATTTAGAGAAATTGCTAAATGACATTTTACTTCTGATCAAGTTTGTAAAACTATAAAGACTGTCTTATTTTGAAGATATTCACAGTGGGAAACAAAGGTGGCCTGTGGCACATGTGGGAGCTTGAACGTGGTAAGGAGTGGAACCCGTGGCAATATATTGGGCGTCCTGTATCAGCCTTGACCAGTCATTCCACCATCATTAATGATGACAAAGGATGGTGGGCAGCATATGCAGTAAGTTCAGTTATATCGTTCTCTCAGACCTTAAGGGTAATATGATTTTCATAAAATTTTTACTTAGTGAGATTAAATGAGCTGGTCATCACTGAGGATTTGCTATCAAGTGTTCAAAATAACAGAGAGGTTAAGTTTCTAAAGAAACTGTGGTGTTGCATCAATGGGAGAGTATAACAGGGTAATTTAGTATTATGAACTGAGTTGATAACAGAAATTGGCCACTGTAAAGAGTTTAAAAGCTGACTTTTCAAGTGTTAGCCCTTTGTCAGAGTGATTGGGAAGGGCTGACACTTGAAATGTCAGCTTTTAAACTCTTAACAATGGCCAATTTATGTTATCAACTCTGTTGATAATACTTGATTTTCACTTTTCCAGTTAAGTGCTAATGATGATGTTGAGATAATTGAGCAGAATCGGTCCCTAGTCCTGTCAACAACACAAGCAGCATTTGGAAGTCCAGTTAAAGTCTCATGGTCTGTACCAGTTGATGAGGCCACACACAAGGATTGGATAGGTCAGTTAGGCTATTTTATCTCCTAAAATATATCTAGGTACTCAGCTGTAATAAAAAAGTCTTTTTTCTAAAATATACCCTGACAATTGCCTTTGCACTGATTTCTTCAGGTGTATACCCATCTGGTGCTGACAATGAAATGTATGTGGACTTCTTATATGTTGGAGGAGGACAGAATCCAAATGCAGACCCACTACCTAAAGGATCTCTGACTTTCAAATCTTATCTTCCCAATGGCAAATATGACTACCGCTACCTGTATGTGTTATTCATTAAAAATTAATCATCTAACACTGTATGGGTACTGCTGAGTAAGAGGGTGTTACTGCCTATTTCTCAAGTATCAGCACAAACTTTCTAAAAAATCAGCACTCCAAATTGCAACTCTAGCTAATAACCATAATGAAAAAGCCCCATTTGTGGATAAGATATCACAATTGAAGCACCCCTTATACAGCCATTGCTAAGTATGTTTATCTCATGGGAATAAATAAACAAGATCAAACATTCTACAGGGTGTATTGACTGACTTTGATCATTTTCTCCCAGGGTAAATAAGAGATTCTTTGATGCAGTGAGCTCCAGCCTGACTGTATTCAATGGCACAAAAGACAAAGAGTGGGTTCAAGTTTACAGAGGGATTGCTGCAGGATTAGGCAAAGAAGGCTTTAATTTTGAAAAATGTGTTGAAGATGGAAACCAAACTGTAGCAGCATTCAAGGAATCATTTGATGCCTTACAAAACAAAAACATTTTCAAAGGACTGCAGTTGTTTGGCACAGCACTTATGGACGTGGTGAAGGCATTTAAAGATTGCAGTGAGACTGATATTGCCAAAGCAATTGAAAAACTGGCCATAGATTTCATAAAATGTGTAAAAGGTAACCATAGCTTAGGAATTAAATAGGAAGTGTATAAACTTGTACAGATTGCAGATTTACCAATATAGGTAAATGTGACAAATAATGATTATCAAATGGAAGATTTTTTCTCTGAAAGTGATATACTGTCAATATATCTATTAACAGTGACCAGTGTCTCTACTAGTTAGCGTTCATTAATCAACTCTTATGAAGAAGTAAGTTAACCCACTTAAAGTACAAATGGGACCTTAGCCTTTAATTGTGACATTCCAGGCATCAGCTTTGGGAGAAGGGGGTTATTGGGGTATGCCTCCCCCCCCTCCCAGAAAATTGTGAACAAATCAAGTAGCTAAGAGGTGTATTCCTTAATTCTGAGTGAGAATTTCCACTGGTGAAAAATGTTTTAAGTGATACCAAAGGGAACAAGAAGTAAATTATATTAAGAAGGAGAATTAATTTCATAGTTACTTGACCAAAACAGCAGTTTTCTATCAAAAAATCAACAGTTTATATCAAAAACCTTAAATGCAAGAAAAATAATAGTTCTAGTGTGAAAGCATGAATAAGATTGAATTCAGTTGCTTGAGTCTCAAGCTCAATGCACAAGACTTGACAGCACTGTGGAACATAAAATCAGTGTTAAGATGTTGCAGTCCTAAACTTAAAAATAATGATGTCTTTTGTGTTTAGGTGACTGCATCAACTTTGTGATTGATGATGCAGTAAGGCTTGTGATCCTTTTTGAGAATGTGTATGAGATATATGGTGACATACAAGGAGCAACAAATTCCTTCCACATAAAGGCTTATGAACAAGGTAAAAGAAATACTCAATTACATTGATTTTCGTCTTTCAGAATAATTTAGTACATTAATATTGAAATACTGGGTTAACAGAATCAATCAATATTTGCTGAATGTGGGAGACCTTGTGTAAGCTAAAATGTCTACCCCCTCTCATTCAAAGTTTGTTAAGGGCTACATCATGAAATATGCAAGCTGTACATGCTGAGCAACATTTTGTGTTTGAAATCAATAATTTGATTTTTCTAGTAAAAGTGTTTGCCAGAGTTTAAGAGGGTACTCTGAAAAAATGTATTATTAAAGACATACTTTCAGTCTCTAAATCACTCTTTTTTCACATTGCATTTTTTTCTATCCTCCAGGTGGATACTGCATTGGTCGTGTTGTTAATGTGTGCATTGCAATGCCATCAACAAATTTTTAGATTTGGCATTTTTGCTTTTTCATTTAGCAAAAAAAGGGTCCACAGGCTATGGATTTTAAATTTCCTAACAAGTTGGCAGAGGGGGTATATTGTGTTTGATCTTCTATAAAGCTGGAATTCATTTCAATAACATGATAACTGTTGTAGGAAATGATAAGAGTTTTGTTCAGAGTGGAGAATAATGACACAAAATTACTCTACTATGTGATTGCCTTAAGTATAATTATTGATGGACAATTGTTGTGTTTTTTGAAACACCTACCGCAAGCATATTAAAAGGGTTGGGAATTGCTGATTTGGTCAACTTAGTACTAAAGACATTTACAACCTTGAGTACACAACCAGTTCCAAAGTTAGAAAATCAAAAGTTAAATTAAGTTATGCCTTTTAGTATTGAATAATTGTATTTGATTTGTTCACTTACATAACAAACACTACAAATGAAATAAAAAGTGTACTGTACATTGCTCAGCAATCTCTGAGTTGTTTCCTTGTACATCTTCTTTTAAACTATTCTCTCAAGTTCTTTGGCATACTCCAGCATGTTTTTAATCATTTTGTAAGCAGGAATTTCTTGTTTCATCTCTTTGTCTGGGTCTGGTTCAAAATAGTAGTATTTATCTTCCTTTAGAGTCCACTCTCGCTAAAGGAAAGGGTACACAAGCATTTAACATTCTGAATATACTACATGAGTTTAAACAATATATGAGTGCTGGTCAAATTTAAAATATATTGTTTTGGTGTGTGCTTCTTAATAAATGCAGTACCTAATTAGTATCTTTTTAAACAAAATTAATGCAGAGGTAACAACCCTACATATATTGCTAAGTATAATAGTTACCTTCTGAGCAAATGCTGCCATATCTTTTTCACTCTCAAAGTAAAGTATCCTGGTAGCCTCTGGGAAGGATATATGCTCATATGCTTTCTCTGCACATGCTGCTATTTCATCTCTTAAACAAGTAAATTCAAATACCATAAGTTTAAAGACAACTGTAGATACATCAGTTGCATGAATGTCTTCTCCCCATATGTACAGGGACATTGGACAGAGAAACAAACATATGCTTTCCACAGACTAATTTAGTGTTAACAACTGGGTTGAAAACGTAAATTAGCCACCGTAAAGGGTAAAAAAGCTGACGTTTCAAGCGTTAGCCCTTCGTCAGAGCGATGATCTTTCCACAGACTGATTGACTGAATGACCAACAGACAAACCAAATAGACAGAAATGGAAAGTATAAACAGAAAATTATAGCCAGATAGTTGGACAGATAATCAATGACAGATAGTCTGAGAGACAAGCAGTGAGATAGACAGACAGACACTAACAGACAGTACAAATGATAAACAGTGGGTAAAAGACCCTATCTGTCCAAGCTTTGATAGCCACCCATTTACCGTGTCATTAAAGCTCACTTACCTTAGAGTATCCAGGAGGATATTCATGAAGAAATGATAGTTGTCTGCTGGTACATTTCCCCTTGCCAGGAAGACCTACAAAAATAAATACAAATCACAACCTACACAAGTAACAATAACTTAAAATAAGTAACACTATACCATAACATAAGTTAGTGGTGACAGAAATACCTTGTTATAGTTTCCTTCCATAAGATACTATTGAAACAAAATGCAAAAAACATTTCAATAACATTTAACTACTACACTGTGCATCAAAAGATCGAAACCCATTTCACACAACAGAAGAGTCATATTTACGTTCAATGAAAATCAATTTTTCAAATGATAGAATATGTATCAACAAAATTTATATTTGAATTTTCAGTGGCAGTTTAGATAGTTGTTAAGTACAACTGAGGGATATATTTTAGTACATATAATCACATGACCATTACCTGTTCTAGGGAGACAGAATGTCTAATGTACACATTGCTCTGAAGTTCTTTAGCAGGTAAAAGTTCCAGTTCCTGTTGGACAAAAATATCAAAATATAAGCATCTTAACCCTTTAACTCCCTTACATGATAGGCAAATTACTTTTCTCCATAATATTTATACATTATCCAGCAAACAGATAATGAGAATACTCAAAATTATCATGTAAAATTTGTTATCTTAATCTAACAAAAAATTATCATGACTAATTTACAAGGAGATGTTTAGCAGCCAGAAAGGAGAAATAACAATCAGATCTTGGGAATTAAAAGGGTTCATCCAGTTGGCTATTGATCTCATCATAGATAATGTTTTTATTAGAACAATGGCAACTTTTGTCAGACCAATTGGCATATTCAGACTTGGTTCTAGCATCAATAACCTCTTGAAAGTATTTAACTTCTGAAGTGGAAAAGACAAAGCAGATAATGTCATTTCATCCTCTTTTATTACTACTCACTGTATGAAACTCTGCAAGACGATTCTGTGCAAGAAGAGACAACAGATTGAGCCCAAGAAGCTGATACATATAAACTGATTCCTCCAAAGTGCCCCTGTGAAATTTAAACAAGTCCAGTGCTTAAGTTACCACACTTAATGGCACCTATGGAATTCACACAACAAAGATTATACTATTATCAAGTAGATTATTCCCAAAAATTTTAAAGATATTTAAACATTACTACTTTCTGTTCAGACACGTAACCTACTGTGCTGGCCCTAGTTTTTTAAAGGTTGGATAATACTAGTACTATTCTCTGGATAAATATCTATCCAGTGGATAGCACAGCATATTTTGTTATCACTTATCAGCTGGATAGCCATTTATCCATTGGATAGCATTATTCACTATAGATACATATACAACTGGCCCCTGCAGCTTATTCTCATGAGGCAAATGATAGGGAGTGAAGTTTCTCTTCTTATGAATAAAGAGAGCTATTCCATTTTTGGCAACCCTACTACAAATCAACGAGTTTTCCTGGCAATTTTTCCATACCCGTCAACATTAATGCTCCTGAATGGGTTAAGGCATACACTGTGAGATTTAAGCATCTTGTTCAAGAACAAAACCCAACATCATTGCAAGAGGGGGTAGAGCCAGGCCTTTTAAATACAGAGTTCAGTGAACCCACTTAAAGGCCACCATGTATCTTTTCTAAATGTATGAAGCATTAAACTTGGATACTTACTTGTCCATAATCTAACACAGAAACTACATTGTTTATTCAATACCCTTACTTGTAATCAAGGTAATATGGTTTCAACTGTGCCATGTATCTTTCAAATGATGGTATGTCCTTTTTTAAAATGCTCCATTGAACACCAATTTCTAATGCATCTCCTATGGACAAAATTTTTGTAGAGAAAAACATGAACATTCCTATGTGGGTGTCAATTACACAAAACCTTGCTGAAAAAGGTAGAGTCATACAATCAGAACTGTTGAAGGAATCAGTCTTGAAACTTACTTGCTAAAAGAAGTTCCTGGTAAGTTGGCTTTCCTGAAGAAGTTGGTAAGAATGAAAACTGGATCAAAGCCATCTAGAAGTCAAAAAATTAATTTTCATCATTGATTTTATCAAGTTATGGTAACTGTGGTGCAAACAATATTTGTCAAATGAATCAATATTCCTTCGCATTACCCTCAGCTAAGAATGTTAAGGCAGGTTTTGGAAAAAAATTAAACTTAACCCTTATCGTGTGGCTCCCAGAATATTCTGGGCGCTCTTGTTCCTCCATGTGGATGGGTTCCAGAATATTCTGGGTTTCCAAACATCATTGTTTTATTGGCAGAGAAGTTCGGAATATTTCGGGCTTATATACTTTTATGGTCATGGGCCTACCCAAGGGACATAAATTAAGCATCCGACAGAGTTCTGAAGATCCAAGTAGAATAAAAGAATTAATTCGCATGAAATATGTTGTGTTGAGCAGTAACACTGATAAACAAAGATGGCGGCCAATATTGTATTTGTTGATGAAAGAACTATCAATGAAGTTGTTGGTGGAGAGGATAGCAATTTTGATGAAAACACCAATAATTCTGAAAGCAGCGAAGAAGATGATGACAGAAGAGAAGAAGACAGTGATGGCAAGTAGGAGAGCAAAGAAAAAACCGAAGAAGACAACTGGGTCCTTGGTGATCGTATCCCACAAAGGCTTGACTTCACAGCTGATCAAGGGTTGAATGTGGAGCTTCCTGACAATCCATCTTTCTCTGACTACTTTCATCTCCTATTCCCTGAAAACCCATTTCGATGAGATTGCATCCCAAACAAATAACTATGCAACAGAAACAATCATATCTTAACAGTGAAGAGATCATTTACTTCACTCATCAAGGTTTAGAAATTGGCCTGAGGATGGTGTGACATCTGAATGCTTTTCTTGCCATGATAATTGCAATGGGCCTCGTGAATCAAGAGAATATCCAGGATTACTGGTCCACCGACAAGGTTTCATCTACTCCCTTTTTCCCTCAAATTATGTCAAGAGACAAATTTATGAACATTTT